CATGCTTGGATACAGCACTCTGTGAACAGCCAGTTTCTTTGGCAATGAATGTTTGTGGCTTACCCTCCTGGTGAAGGGTGTCGATGATGTCTTCTGGACAACTGATCAGATCAGCAGTCTTCCCCATGATTGTGTAGCCTAGTGAACCAAACTGAGTGACCATTTTGAAGGCTCAGGATACCTTTGCAGGTGTTTTGAGTTGACTACCTGAGTGGCATGTCACCATATTCTAATTTATTGAGCTAGTGATGTGGTGGGTTTTTGCTAAATGTGGGCCAAAATCATCACAATTAAAAGACCCAACGGCTTAAACTACTTCAGTCTGTGTGTACTGAATTTATATAATACACGAGTTTCACTATTTGAGTTGAATTACTGAAATAATTGGACTTTTCCATGATATTCTAATTTATTCAGACGCACCTGTAATTATCCATTTCTTTCAACCGCTATGCCTCCAATTTATAACATTAGCTTGTTGCTATAAACCTTTAGAGTCCCAAGTCAAACTGAGAAAACTAATGCATGATGGCTACATCAGAGTAATTCTCACAAACAGCTGTGGTCGCAGGCTGAGTAGTGCTCATCATGATGAATAAACTGATCTTTATGAGTAAGATGGTAGGAGTGACCCCTTTTTAATTCATTTACTGATGTAATATGGCTCAAAAACCCTTCTGCAGCACCTGAGGTAGAGGATCCGTGCTATCAGGCCATACAGCACAATGGCAAGGAGCAGGGGGATGATGTAGAAAATGGCAAAGTCAATGAGGTAGATGGGCAGGTAGAGCTCCCGTTTCACCTTGTAGCCGCACTGCACGTGTCCGTCCTGGCTGACCTGAGTATCACACAGTTATCATAGAGATGCTGTAAATAAAACAGGCTCACACACTGGCTTTGGGCCAATGTGCACACAATATTCTTTCACATCACAACATAATAATAGCAATCTCAGAAATGGCACCAAGCTCTTAAAAAGCTTTTAACATTCCCTGCAGTTCAACCAGAATTTGTATGAAAGGTCTCGCTAATCACAAATGTTTTATTCCTCTGTTCATGACTCATGTACTTACTGAAACACTATGTGGCCCCTGTAAAGGGTACTATTGTGTTTATATCCAAGCATGCTCTACATGTGTTCATACAGCAAGTTAGGTATGTAAAAATATACAACAGATCTGAGTACACCTGTGTGCAATATCACTAGAATGTGTAATGATTCAAAACATCTTGAAATAACTGTGTTGTTTTTAACTTAAAAACAGGTTATAGTACCGTGAAAATACAGAGCCTGAAGTGCAACCTCACTGCAACGCAACTACATGTGTGATTCTTGTGACAAAAGTCAGTGATTGCACCTGTGATTGCCAGCTAAAGCTATTTGCATGAACATGGTTATGAAAGAACCTGTGAACACCCCAGCATTCCCACTTTGTCTGGGTTGTTTCTAATTCAGGTGAGAGCTTGTGGCTTGGCACAAGGATTATTTGTGGAAATTGGTGTTTCAGTGACTGATCAGTGTGAAGGACACTGCATGAAGAGCCGTTGCTTGCAAAACAACAAATTAATATTTGCAGCACATTCTTTGGTCAGATGAACCCAAAACAAATGAGTCTGGGTCAGAGGGGGTCCAGTGTGTTCGGTGTGGACCTGGCCAGCACTACCACAGTGACTGCACAGCATGGGGACAGGAGTGTGCCGGGTGCAGGAGGTGTAGGGGAGCTGGCAATTATAGATGGCACTGTGAAGAGCAAGTTTGTGTCCCCAAATACTGGATGAAAAGACAAGTCCCAGTCCCAGGGTTGGCTGGAGAGGAATTTCCCAACCACACTGTAAAATACTGAGGTGAAAGCTCTGGCCTGGTTAATGTGAGCTGCCTTGAATTCAACAGAACAACCTCTGGAGTATTTTAAAGGTGAAAGAAGAGCAACAAAAGCCCCCCAGCAAAGAGCACATGTCAGATCAGATGGAGACAGAGCATGTCTCCATAGATTTGTGCAAGACTGGTGGAATCCATGTCCACGAAGGTCAAAACTGTCATCACAAGTAAAGGCTGAGGCTCACAGTATTCTAATAAAGAATGGCATCTCACTGAGGAAGGGCGGACTGACTTCTGTTGTGGATGCTTCTTGAACATGGACCTTTCATTACATCATCACATTTATGCTTTTCATATTAATTGGTTTCATTCATCTTGGGCTTTGGCTAAAAACAAATAACAGTGTATATGCAGGAATTGTAATGACTTAATATTTTAGTGATACTTCAGAGTGTACTGTTTTGTTCTATACTGTGTATGTATAGAAGAAAAGATTATCTGTTCATTCCACTGTTATTAATATTTTTGAATAAACAATTACTTGTTACTCTGCTGTGTCCTGCATCCAGTAAAACAGTAATACACTAAATGTAATGCACAATACAATACATTTCTCCAACCTGAATGTCCACCAGGAAAAACCACAGCATGCAGTAGACACAAGTGAACATCCAAACGCCGGCAATGATGCGCTTGGCCCTGGACACTGTGCAAACTGTCTGTGCTTTCATTGGATGGCAGATCGCTATGTACCTGCAGGCAAACAGAAAATGGTGAGTTCAAACACAAAGTCAAACCAGCTGTGGATGGTGAGATGTTTGGTAACTGCACCTCCTCTCTAGCTGAATGTTGAGTTGGGACTCTTGTGTGTGCTGTATGCCAATGTTATGCTGGATAAACATTTAGTCAGACTATGATCTAATTATTACTTTGGCTGCACAAGACAAGAAAAATACACTCATCTGAAGAATCTTGTAAACAACTTCAAATTGGTACATTCACAGCAGTGGTTTATTTAAGTGCTTTTTTCTCTGTTCATAAGAGATGTTGACTGATATTATTATTACAGTGATGGTGGAAAGAAAAACAAGATGCACATTTCTCTCTCTCCCTCTCTTGCTTTCATGTTGTGTTATTTCTTTCATGCTGATGTAGCCTTACATTAACCCGATGACTTTCAGACTTGTGCCATGTTGAAAGTGCCACAGACATGATATCAGGACCAACCAGTAAGACTGATGTTGTAGCTTGTAAGTAAGAGTGACTCAAGTGTGTATTCAGACATGGGACCAACATGTAAAAATCTGATTAAAATAAAGAGTTGTATGTCTGAAAGAAGACAGAGAGAACAAAGGGTATCCTGAAGATCAATGCAGGTTAGGCATCATTTGTTTCCCAGTAAGCACAAAATTGGGAATTTGGTCATCTGCAGATCAAAAAACATCTGTGACAAAGGCTAAAGGGTCAGTTTACCTAAATTAAACACCCCTTTCCTTTTACATTTGGTGGTATCTACAGTAGCTGTGGAGTTTTATTTATTTTTATTTTATTTGACCAGGATTTTAAATATTCATCCTAATTTTTGCTTCTATCACAGTGGAGTTGAATGGAATTTTGGTTTTCACAACCTTGAAAACTTATATTTACAGTGTCCCCGGTTACTCTGGATTATTTCTGTCATCCAAACATTTAAATAACAAAACAGTTTAAAGACTATCCAGAGTACCTGGGAAAGGTAACTTTCAATGCAACTTTTCATTGTTGGAGGTCAAAGGTCAAAGGTCAAAGTGTTTATTTGTTATATGTACAGTTAGGAAACGTGTTTCCCGGCACAATTAAATTCTTACTTTGCCGTCCACATGAATGCCACACAATACAAATGAAATATAAAGTAGATGAGCAATAACACATCTAAGTAGGCAGTAACACAAATCTAAGACACTTTAAAGCAGCAAGTGAAAGAAGCACAATAAAAAAGCCACAAAAATGAAATTCCATTCACCTCCATTTCATTCAGCAATTTCAGAAACAGTTATCTCAAAACCCAGACAAGGCAAACTACAGTTATCTACCTGCAGATAAATAAGAAATATATTTTTATACTGCAGGTGCACGGCGAAATAAAACTATTTAAAATGCTTTTGAAACAATGGTTATATTTAACCTCGCCTTCACTTCTGACCTCAGCCTGTATATGTTGTATTTGGTCACACACAGTTTGCTATGGAAAAACACTAGTTTTAGGGGAACAGTCAAAACACTACTTTTCACCTGCTATCTATCAGTAGGTTGCATCTACCAGATCACTGAATATGCTTTATCTCATGGATGTCAGCTTTCTGCTCTGGAGGATGAAATGTTTCCCCAGGTTGAAACCAACATTTAGGCCAAAATTGAATAGTTCCACATTTCCAAATACTGAATTTAAACTTTGGTTTCACAACAGGCAAACATTTTATCTTTCCAGGCAGAAAGCAGATGTCTGTGGGATTCCAAGTACACTTTAGATGTTAGGACCCAGTGCTGAAGAACAGATAAAAAGCAGAGTTTGGGCTTTCCCCCTGTGGTTTGCATAGGGGATAACTGAGTAACACACACTGTGCTGAAACATCTTCTTTTAAACAAAATGTCTAAATGTCTTTTGACCTGAACATCATGCAAATAAGTGCACAAAACACTGGTATAGTCCTTTATCATGCACTGCCATCAGCATGTTGGCATTGTTAAAAAAATCTAATTAAACCAAGACCAGATGATGCAGCTGATGCTCCCTCATATTGTAGACATTGTTGACATGTAGTGCTAAGTCTAAACACTTGTCCTGCAAACAGAAATTTAAAATGCATGCCAAGAATAGCTCACAACAGTACAGGCCGGTGAAAGCTGCTCTGAGAACTGTTACATTTGGTTGTTCATCCATGCTTACCTCTCCACAGTGAAGGCAGTGATGGAGCAGGAGGACACATTGATGCCCAGGTACTGAAGGTAGGTGATCCCCAGGCAGCCGGCGTGGCCAAAAACCCATGTGCCGGTCAGACTATCCGAAACATTGGGCAGCCCCGCTGCCACCAGCACCGTCAGATCAGCTATGGCCAGGCTCACTAAGTAACAGTTTGTGGGAGTCCTCATGTGGCGCGTGGTGACGACCACAAGGACCACCATGATGTTGCCCACAATGCCCACGCCACACACCAACAGAACCAGGAACACTGACACCGTCTTGTATTCTAACGACTCATAGACAGCAACACTGGGACTCAGAGAGATGTTTGTTGTGGTGTCGATTCTGGAGCTAACGTTGGCGGTCATATTTTCTAATGACTGGCCTCTTTATTCCCCAAGCTTTTATTAATCAAAGGTTACGGTCATTCATTTAGTGCTAAGTGAAGAGGGGCTGTGAAATGTCGCCATGTTTTCCACCTCTTCATTTAGAGCCAGTCCAGGTAGAAGTAGCGTGTGACACTGACGAGCATAAACATGGCACAGGTTTGACCGAGTTGTCACTAGAGAGGAACAACTGTTTGTTACAAGTCCTTGGTCAGGAGAAGGGGAAGTAAGCACTGCCCTTGTTTCCTTGTCTTTGATGCTTCCTTCTGTTATTCCATCCTCCTTCACTGTCTTCCTTTTAACTAATACAAGTGAGGGAAAAAGAATACCACGTTGGACATACTGTAACTCCAGGCATCACTCAGGCCCCAGTTCAGTCACCTAGAAACAGAAAGTGAGTTCACCTGATTAGACTAATGTGTCATAATGTCATATGTCAGTGTCAAACATATACATTAAAACACAAAATTTCTCTCTGACTCCTTTAGGTATCTGTGGTTTCAGCCAGGATTAAATGATACTATAAATGCTACTTGAAAACAAAAGTGCTCATCCAGACAGACAAATCACATGGTAACAAAGAAGGAAACAGTGCAACCTGGTGATTTCATCCAAACGGAGTTGCCTGAAACCTTAGTGCTGAAATTGTGCAGCTGTGCAAGTAAAAGATCGGCAGCATTAAATTTCTTGGTAATCTCTCCGAGATTTTATTTTTCTGTTAACAGTAGCTTTGATTAAAAAAGAAAACAGAACAACTGTCATCATTCATTTGAAAGAGGTTTCTTGATCGTCCTTTCCCATTTTAACAGGGATATTACAGTGGAGCAGAAACAGCGACCTTCCAGCTTCTCATTCTGCCACATACAGTATGAGCCTGTATTGTCAGTCACTATGCATCCCGCAGAAACCACACTGCTCAAAAAAATTAAGGGAACATGAAATCACACATTGGATCTTGATGAACAAATGACTGAAGGTGAAAATCTTTACTAATGTATGTTGTATAATTTGTTGCCCTCATGCTGCCCTCACAGAGTTTGTTTCTGACAGTTTGGTCAGAAACATGCACACCAGTAGCTGCTGGAGGTCACCGTGTAGGGCTCTCCCAGTGCTCCTCCTGTTGGTCCTTGCACAGAGGAGCAAATACCAGTCCTGCTGCTGGGATGTTGCCCATCTACGGCCCTGTCCAGCTCTCCTGGTGTAACGGTCGGTCTCCTGGTATCTCCTTTGTGCTCCTGAGCCTGTGCTGGGAGACACAACAAACCTTCTTGCGACTGCACATATGGATGTGCCACCCTGGAGTAACTGGACTCCCTGTGCAGCCTGACTGGGCTGCAGATACTGCAGAAGTTTAACTGACTTGTTGTTATACCGTGATAATCAAGTGCTCCCTTAATTTTTTTGAGTAGTTTATTTTGATGTGAGTTACAACACAACTCAGGACAACGCTTACACCCCCACATGTACACTGAAACTGTTTTTGATCAGTATAATTGTTTGTCTCATCTCTGTCTTCCAAAACTATTCAAATAAAAAATAAATCCAGTTTATGATGTGACAACACTAAGGCTTACTTGCTTATGGTCAGGAAAGGTTGTGGTCTGGGTTCAAATCACGATTACACATGGCTGAGGTTAGAGGACCATCACGCTCATGGTTAAAAGAAACCAACGGTGACTGTTAGGAGATGGGAATCGCTTCATCTTCCATGTCAGTCCAGTGTTTTGACCCAGCCATCTGCCCTGACATGCTCCTTACAGGGATATAGCAGTTCTGTAACACACTACTCTTCATTCACCAAAACCTCAACATTCACTTTCATTAATTTGATTTTCTGAAAGAAAATAAGCCACAATCAGATAGAGTTACTGATGCTGCCTCATTCTGTGTGCATGGTGCACATGTAGAGCACAAGGTTAAACACTTGTCTGTATGCAAACCGAAAGTCAAAGCACTCTTCTGTAAAGATAAACTGCTCGCCTATAACAGCACAAGCCAGTAAAAGCTGCTCTGAGATCTGTTGCAGTTGGTTGTTTGTCCAGCCTAACCTTTCTCCTAGCCACAGAGATCCCCTCCTAATGTGACTGCAATGCAAGACACATGAAAAATCCACAATCTTCATTTTGTGCCTACATTACAAAGTACAACTGAAGCTAATAAAAGGCTTCAGCAGCCTGAGTGAGACAAATCAAATATCTTCCAAAGACAGGCTGTTTAATATCCCTCCACTGTTATTAAGCAAGGGAACATTGTCCAGGGAAACAAAAAAAAAGCCTGTGACACTGGAAAATACTGACTTAATTAGTCTAACTCAGGCTGCTGAAGCCTCATAGTCATTTTGGCTGAACTTCAGAAAACAGATTTCCACAGAACAAAGACTATGGCTTTTCACTGGAACCGCATTTTGGTCATCTCTCTCAATGACCGTGACCATTGGTGGAGAGCAGAAATGCCACTTAAGTGCACATTTCTGACTTTGTAGTGGTACTAAAGGAAAGGTCAGTGGGATCACAAAGAAGGCTAAGAATCGTCCTTTGATGACCGTGAGCATCCACAACAAATGCCATAGCAATGTGGCCAGGAGTGTTGGACATACTACAAGCAGATCAGCTGCACTGTACAGCTTTAAAGAATACAAATGTAGAAGTACTGATTTCTCTGAGGAGGTAGTGAAGCCATGCCCCCTGCTCCCCTGTAGGTCTGCAGACTTCAGACTGAGAGCCAGAGCTGAAGCCACGCCTGGCAAAGCTTTAAAAAGAATCAGTGTGGCTAAACATTACTAGGTGAGCGTGCAGTAACAAATAACCCCAAACACTGCCCTCAAGGCATAAACTAAATTAGTACATTAAGATCTTTTTAACATAATATTCTGTCAGACCACACACATAAGCACAAGGTTTCATCTCCTCTCATAATGCACACATGATGCCTCCTAGTGCACTTCTGGTGACGTTGCAGCCACATTCCTACTGGAAAGCTCACACAGTAGAAAAACTGATAATATAATACATATAACAGCTTAATTTTTTTAGGTTACAATGTGTGAACTAGTTTTTTCACCTGAGGTTTGTTTTAGGTTTCACATTCAGCTAAAAGTAAATTAACCAATGTGTAAACATTACAAATCATCTGTTGCTCTTTGCACTCATCTTCCAACCTTGGCATGCGCACGGCTTGGGCCTCCCCTCCTGAGAGCTGCCTCTAATAAATTGAGGTGGACATGAAATGAAAAGTAATTTAGCTCCACTATTCTGCCATCAGTAAGACTGCATGCACTCTCCTTCCATTACACATCAGTGACGCTGTAGGGCTGATCTTCTGCACATTTGGGATGCTCCTCCATGCCTCAGGAGCAGCTTTGCTGGAGGCTTTCTGTTATACTGCAGTGCAAACAAAGATGTTTTCTACATTGGGAATGAATAAAGTGGGCCAGGGAACTTATCAATTTAAGCTCCTACGGTATATAGACAACAAAATTTAGAACTATTGTGTTAAAGGAATAATTCATTTTGTAAAATACACTTATTCATTTCCACTTACCAGCACCTCTAGTTCACTAATTAACACGTCACTGCATTTGATTAATCTGTATATAAAAACATTAAAACAACAACCTGTCACTTTCCCACTTTGTACAGCTTTGCAAATGAAATCTAAAAGTTTGATTAGTTAGCTTCAGTGCTGCTGGTCGACCGACACCTCTACAGGTAGGCAATCCAGGGTAGCTGCTGCCTCATCTTTATGCTAAGCTGCTGCTGGATGCCACTTCATGTTTAGAATACAGGCATCACACTGGTATCATCCTGTGTTGCTGCATCAACAGTACTCGAGTCCACTTTGACGACTCCTTCAAATGCTATTTTTTTAGGATTCAAATTTGGACCAGTTTAAAACACAAAAGTTATGTGAGTAGATTTTTGCTAGAAATAAAAATCTGATCAAATACTTCTACAAAAGACCACAGAGTTAAATGTGGGCTTATTCTGGCTAAGTTATGAACCGTTATCCCCAGATGACTGATCCTTTTGTCTGCTGTTCAGGTTTAAGGTGAACATCCACTTTCATTTCCTCCTTCCCTTTAATTCAGTTCAAAGTTGTATTCTCCTTGAAAAATAAATCTGTCTATATTCCCATTTCCTGAGTTCAGAGTCCTGGCATCTTGTCAAACGTAGCAAACCAGAGGTCACAGCCTGGATAAATGCTGGTAAAGCATTGAGCTGCCTTTGAGCAAGGCACCAAGTGCTCCACTGATCAGCAGCCATCAATAAATGAAGGTGTGCCAGGTGAAGCACTATGAATTTGACTGAATAAAACAGCATGGCTCTTACCTGGCAGCTTCTACTGTACAAGGCAACTATCAAAATAGCAACAGCCTGATACTGCTCAACAAATATATAATATAAGTCTGGCCTATTTCTGGCCAGTGGCTAATTTCCATGAAAATGCCTCCCAACAGGTAACTTAACCTTTAAATATGAAGAGTTAAATAAAGATAGAAACTGTGTTCTCCGTGGCAAATACGTTTTCTAGGTTATGTCGGATCTGTGCTACTGCCACTTTTTGTTTGTTTGTTTGTTCTTTGTTTCCACAGAGGAAATGACCCGCACTGTCAGACAACTGTTACTCCATGTCTTTCCATAGCTTTGTTACACATGCATCAGTGTGGCATGGTTGGAGAGTCGACTGATGATGAGAGATACAGTGCTGAGAAATAACTGATAAAGTTCTCATTATTTCTATTCAGTTACGGGAGTAAGTATGATTATTTACCTGGTGCGTCTTTGCGTCGCAGTGGCTTCTTGCAGAATCTTCTTCCAGTCCATGGTTCTCCTCCCAGTTTACTCTGTGTTTGGTGTCGCTGGTTAAAGTCGAGCTGGCAGCATAGTCACATCTTACCTGTCAGTGCCCTGCTCCTTCTGAGCTCCGCCACACACGCGCTTGCGTGTGAAACGCCACTTGTGCCTTCAAAATAAAAGCCTAACTTCTATTTCGGCATTAGCAAATGTCACGTTTCCAGAATAAAGTGTTCTTATTGTTTTATTCTGGGGTTCTGATAAGATACCGTAAAACCCACGACACAAGCACAAAATAAATAATTCAATAATTTTTATTACTCCATATGCTGATCCTATATGCTTATATATTACAGTACATAAACTAGAGAAATGCATTTCCTGTCGAAAATGCGTGTGGATGCTGTGATGCTGAAAGATCGCCCTGAAAATGCCTGAAATCAATTGCTGAAACAGGTGAAGGATGAGTAGAAACTGCTGAATTTCTTTGTTAAAATGGTTGAGAAGAAACAGCTGAAGTTCTTTGTTGAATAATCTGAAGGATGAGATGCAATAAAGTAGTGATGGGCAGATGAAGCTTCATGAAGCAATGAAGCCTTTCATCCAATTGGTTCACTCCAGCACAAAGCTTCTTGAAGCTTCATTTGCTCTCGTAGGACATCTATTGGATGCAACAATATCAGTTGGCATGAATTTGAAGTGTGTGGCATTTTGCAGAAAGCCTGTGAATAAAACTGTCAGCAAAATAAAGAAGTATGCAAAACATGTATATTGGTTGAGGTATGGCCAGTGATTATGGTTTAGGGGACACATCATTGGTTTTTATTTAAAAACAACAGTTTCTCCACTGTGGCAGGTCTTAGGCGATTTCTTTTTCTCCATCAAACACCCACATTTTGAATGGAGCCTGAGGGGTTTATATCGCTGTCAAAACTCGCGGCAAAATCCGAACCACTTCCTGAATCAGTCATGTGGTACAGCCGGGCAGCGAGGCTTCAGACGTCATCATTTTCAGCTCCTCACCTGAATGACGCAAGCCTCGATACGCGCATCGCGGAAACGCCCCCTCCCCTACTCGGCACACGCTTCGAAGCCTTGATACACATCACTACAATAAAGATATGTCCTTGAAGAGCTGAACATTTTGATAGCTGAAATAGCTGAAAGTATGATGTAGAATTTTCCCATTCTTTTTAATGCGGCAAAATTTTCAAAATAAAGCTAAATATTTCAAAAGTATGAAGTTTAGAAAAATCCTGAAGACAAGCATGAATGTCCTTGAAGAGCTGAACATTTTGATACCTGAAATAGCTGAAAGTATGCTGAAGTAGAATTTTCCCATTCATTTGAATGGTGCAAAACTTTCAAAATAAAGCTAAATATTTCAAAGGTATAAGGTTTAGAAAAATCTTTAAGACAAGCATGAATGTTGTTAGGTATTTTTAGTTAGATAGACATTGGTTAGATACTTTATGTATTAGAAATGTTTAGTGTAGACAGGATGTCTACCTCAGGCTGTTAAATGCTTAGTCATTCTCATGGGGTACTCCAGGTTGTTCAGGTTCAAGGATAACTAGACAGAAAGTTGATTATTGTTAGGAGACAGAAGGTTTATTCTTATTGTTATGACATGTTTAACCATAGTCGTAGTCATAATATTTTCTTATGCTTAATGTCATGTCAGAATGTTTTAGCTACACACCACCTAATCAACAGACAATCACACATTGATTTTCTTCATGTTTTGACTACTGCTATGGCCAGCTGCAAAGCTGGCACCGGGAGACGTCACGGTTTGGCGCCTCTGTGTAGTATGGGGCTAGCCCGAAGTGATATAATGTATAGGCCTGTTATGGTTCAGGGCTTTTCATCTTTCAGCTGCCTGCGTGCATGTTGGAGGTGCAATAACTCCTGAGCATGTAATGTTAATTTTTACCTGTGATCACTGAATAAATCAGCACTGTTTCAAAGTTACTTGGACTGCCTCGTCTCTCAGAGTTAACGGTGAAAAAAACTGGGTCCCCAAAAATGTCTTTGAAGAACTGAACATTTTGCTACCTGATAGAATTTTCCCATTCATTTGAATCAAGGAAAACTTTCAAAATAAAACTAAATATTTCAAAGGTATAGGGTTTACAAAAATCCTGAAGACAAGCATGAATGTTCTTGAAGAGCTGAACATTTTGATAGCTGAAATAGCTGAAAGTATGCTGATGTAGAATATTCCCATGCATTTGAATGGGGCAAGATTGTCAAAATAAAGCTAAATATTTCAAAAATAGGGGAGAGAGAGACAGAGAGAGGAGTTATGTTGGGGCATGTCCCAATTGCGCTGCATTTTATGAACCACCAGATGGCACTCCAAGACCATGTCATTGACTCAGCACTTTGAGCTCCCATTGACTTGTATTGCAAAAAAATAAAGCTGAATAGATTAAAAAGTATAAATGTTATTAAAAGTTGAGTACAAGCAGGGATGTCCTTGAAGAGTTGAAAAGATCAAGACCTCAATGGCCTGTATAGCTGAAAGTATGCTGGACAACTTTTCAGAATAAAGCTAAATATTTTTAAAGTGTGATGTTGTTAATAAAAGCATGAATGTCTTTGAAGAGCTGAGCATTTTGATACCCGAAATAGGTGAAGGTATGCTGAAGTAGAATTTTCCCATTTGTTTGAATCAGGGAAAATTTTCAAAATAAAGCTAAATATTTCAAAAGCATGAAGTTTAGAAAATCTCTGAATAGAAGCATGAATGTCCTTGGAGAGCTGAACATTTTGCTACCTGAATTATTTGAAAGTATGCTGAAGTTGAATTTTCCCATTCATTTGAATGGGGTAAGATTTTCAAAATAAAACTAAATATTTCAAAGGCATAAGGTTTAGAAAAATCCTGAAGAGAAGCATGAATGTCCTTGAAGAGCTGAACATTTTGATAGCTGAAATAGCTGAAAATGTGCTGAAGAATTTTCCCATTCATTTGAATGGGGCAGAATTTTCAGAATAAAGCTAATAGCCTCAACACGGACAAGACGAAGGAGATGATAGTGGACATGAGGAAGGAGAGGAGATCTCATCAGCCACTGTTCATCCGGGGGTTCGAAGTGGAGA